TAGTGCAGTATTTGAGGATTTGTTGGGCAGTCGAAGATGACTGTCACTAGCTTTCGCAAACTCCTCTGAATTACAAAAATTATTATCAGAATTATCAGTATCAATGGCACAAGCGCTTTCTACAATTTCACTATTTAGACTACCAACGATTGTTTTGTCTGTCTCGAAGGTTAGGTTGTTTAACAGCCGTGATTCTGCAACCCCAATAATTGGAATCTTGGTTGAAATAGGACAAATCGGAGGTGATGCTAGTCTGTCGTCAACACCTGTAGTGTCGGAAATTGTATTCGAAGTCGACGAGGTTACTTTTGTAGGAGAAACAGGAATTGATGAAGGAATGTCATCCATAGTTCCTGCAACCAAGAACAGTTGGCTTCCTGAAACGGCTGCTATCATACGACGTCGCGGGTGCCAGGCTACGTGAAGTAGTTTGCAGTGATAGTCAAGCTCACGAAGCCCTGTAGGAGGAACAGGAACTTTGTGCTCAAATAAATTATTTTCATCGTCATCATCCTCTTCTTCATCGCCATCCTCTATATCAAAGTCGCTGGTTAATCCATTGGCTGGCCTTTGAGACATTTTGGAGAAACGGAGTAAGCTCTTTCTTCCTCCAGACATGAGAACATCATTCAGCTGTTGCAGAAGTCGAGGGTCGCTGCCGTTGCTTTCATGAGAGGGAACCATGTCTTCACTACGACACTGCAAACTAGTCTCATCTTCCAAACCAACGTTAACGTCACTGGAAATACCATCGAAACCTAAAGGCACGTGGCGATCCTTTCGTCGACTGCGACGCTGTTTGGGTCTACCTGAGGTTCCTTCAGGTCTATTGTTAAGTTGCCCACCAATTATCTCTGTCCTTGGGCTTCTTCTCTTACAGCCCGGTGTCACAGATGACTCTTCATTGCGATCAGGACTAGTGAGTTTTCCAGAGACCAAATCTTCTCCATTACCAGGGGGTTGTGTCGAACTATCTAAAAAGGTGTTTCCAGGCTGCGTAAATGATACTCGTCTTTCGGACTGAAAGGGTGGGCAGTCGGCTACATAAACTGAGCCGACTCCAAGATATATACCAAGTTGACTATCAGGCGAGATGAACTGTTTCGGTTTAAGGCGAACTGGTGAGAAAGACGAATTAGCTTCCTGAGGCTGGGAATGTGACTGCTGATAAAGTGACATCAACCGAGAGGAATTTGGTATGCAAGAGTTGCTGTTGTTGTCTGGAATGGAGGTAGAGACGTAAGAGTGAGTTAAGGTAGGAGATAAGGGCGAAGCAGGAGGTGGTTCCGAAGATGGAGAGATAACCTGGACGTCATTTAAATCGTAAAGCCAGTCAGCCTGCGTATGACGATCGAAAACATGGAATAGGTTGCTGTAAGAACCGGTCAAAACGTAGCTGTCGGAACGAAAAAATATAAGACAACGAAAAAGAAGATATTTTATGTATCTGCTAAAAAAATATCTGAAAAGA